TGAGACTTCATCTAAAAAAAAAAAAGAAAGAAAGAAAGAAAAGAAAATTAAAAAAATAAAAAGAACAAACAGAAAAAAGAAAAGAAAAGAAAATGTAAGCACCTTGTATAAAAAGCAATTTTTCTTTTTCTTTTCTTTTTTTTTTGTTGAGACAGAGTCTCGTTCTGTCACCAGGCTGGAGTACAGTGGCATGATCTCGGCTCACTGCAACCTCTGCCTCTGAGTTCAAGCAATTCTCCTACCTCAGCCTCCTGAGTAGCTGGGACTACAGGCATGCACCACCATGCCCAGCTAATTTTTGTATTTTTAGTAGAGACAGGGTTTCATCATGTTGGCCAGGCTGGTCTCGAACCCCTGACCTTGTGATCCACCCACCTCAGCCTCCCAAAGTGCTGGGATTATAGGCATGAGCCACCATACCCGACCAGCATTTTTCTTTAAAAATATTTTATTACTTATAAAACAATCGGATAAGAAGTGATACCTGACAAAAATATAAATTTATTGCAAAAACATTTGGTGTCATAATTTTATAGAATAACAACAAATAATACTTTATTAATGTGATACCTTGATGTGATCATAAGATTTTTCTGGCTTGCTTTTCTTCAAATTCATTTATTAGGTCATCAAAATGTTTACTTTTAGCAACATCAGTTTCAATCAATGTAATTGAAAGCAACCTTAACTCCGGCAAATGCAAGAATGTGAATAATTTTTAATAATATTTATTTTATTTTATTTGTGAGATGGAGTCTCACTCTGTTGCCCAGGCTGGAGTACAGAGGCACAATCTTGGATCACTGCAATCTCCGCCTCCCGGTTCAAGCAATTCTCCTGCCTCAGCTTCCCGAGTAGCTGGGATTACAGGCACCTGCCTACGCCCAGCTAATTTTTGTATTTTTAGTAGACACAGGGTTTCCCTATGTTGGGCAGGTTAGTCTCGAACTCCTGACTTCAGGTGATCCACCAGCCTTGGCTTCCCAAAGTGCTGGGATTACAGGCATGAGCCACCTTGCCCAGCTGTATAATTTTTTTTTTTTTTTAAGACAGTTTTGCTCTTGTTACCCAGGCTGGAACGCAATGGTGCGATCTCGGCTCACTGCAACCTCCCCCTCCTGGGTTCAAGCAATTCTCCTGCCTCAGCCTTCCAAGTAGCTGGGACTACAGGTTAACGCCACCATGCCCAGCTAATTTTTGTATTTTTAGTAAAGACGGGGTTTCACCATGTTGACCAGGATGGTCTCGATTTCTTGACTTCGTGATCCACCTGCCTCGGCCTCCCAAAGTGCTGGGATTATAGGCATGAGCCACCGCGCCCAGCCTAACTGTATAATTTGTAATTGTAAGAATGATCTTTCTGCTGATACAGTGGTTACTGGAGCTATTAAGAGCATATTACAGACTATGGCCAGCTGCTGGGGAGGCTGAGGTAGGAGAATCTCTTGAACCCAGGAGGCAGAGGTTGCAGTAAGCCAGGATGGTGCCAGTGCACTCCAGCCAGGGCGACAGAGTGAGACTCTGTCATTAAAAAAAAAAAAGAGTATTTTACAAACTGTGACAACATTGGGATAAATTTCTAAGTTATTTTGAAGTACATATTTTAATTCATCTAGAGCTAATGATTTATATGGGATAATTCTTTTTTTCTTATTTTGAGATGGAGTTTCACTCTTGTTGTCCAGGCTGGAGTGCAATGGCATGATCTCGGCTCACTGCAACCTCCGCCTCCCGGGTTCAATCGATTCTCCTGCCTCAGCCTCCTGAGTAGTTAAAATTACAGGCATGTGCCACCACGCCCAGCTAATTTTGTATTTTTAATAGAGATGGGATTTCTCCATGTTGGTCATGCTGTTCTTGAAATCCCAACCACAGGTGATCCACCTCCCTCGGCCTCCCAAAGTGCTGGGATTACAGGTGTGAGCCACCTCACCTGGCCATAATTTCTCTTTTTAAAAAAAATAATTAATTTATTTATTTTTTGAGACAGAGTCTCACTCTGTTGCCCAGGGTGGAGTGCATTGGCACAATTATGGTTCACTGCAGCCTCAACTTCCTGTGGTCAAGTGATCCTCCCACCTCAGCCTCCTGCTTTGTTGGGACTAAAGGCAAGCACCAGCAAGCCTGGCTAATTTTTGTATTTTTTATAGAGACTAGATTTCACCATGCTGCCCAGGCTGGTCTCAAACTCCTGGGCTTATGAGATCCTCCTACTTTGGCCTCCCAAATTGCTGGGATTCTCCACGCCCCAACGAAGTAGCTTTCATCTAGATATCATAAAAATACTAAACTTGGCTGGGCTATGTTGGCCTGGCTGGTCAGGAGTTTGAGACCAGCCAGGCCAACATGGCGAAACCACATCTCTACTAAAAATACACAGAATAGCTGGGCATAGTGGCACATGCTTGTAATCCCAGCTACTCAGTCTGGAAAAAAAAAAAAAAAGACTGTGATTTTTTTTTTCTTTCTTTCTTTCTTTTTTTTTTTTTTTTTAAGTAGAGACAGGGTCTGGCTATGTTGTGTAGACCAATCTCAACCTCCTGGGCTCAAGTGATTCTCTCACCTCGGCCTCCCAAAGTGCTGGGATTACAAGCATGAGCCACTGCACCCGGGATTCTTGTATAGGTGGATTAGTGCTTGTAGGAGGCAGAATAATGGACCCTCAAAGATATCAATGTCCTAATCTTCAAAACCTGTAAATGTTGTGTTACACAGCTAAGGAGGATTTAGATTGCAGATGGAACTAAGAATGCTAATCAGCTGACTTTAGAGAGATTATTCTAGATTATCTGGGGAGGCCCAGTATAATCACATAGGTCCTTAAAGGTGGAACAGGGGCCGGGCGCGGTGGCTCACACCTGTAATCGCAGCCCTTTGGGAGCCGAGGCAGGCAGATTGCTTGAGCTCATGAGTTTGAGACCAGTATGGGCAACATGGTGAGACCCCATCGCTACAAAAAAAATACAAAAATTAGCCAGGTGTAGTGGTGCACTCCTGTAGTCCGCTACTCCGGAGGCTGAAGTGGAAGGATCCACCTAAGCCCGGTAGATGGAGTCTACAGTGAGCTGAGATGGAGCTACTGCACTCCAGCCGGGGTGACAGTGAAACCCTGTCTCAAAATGAATAAATAAATGTATTAAACATATTTATTTTATATTCTGTCTAAAATTCTAGTATCTGAAGTTTTTGAAACTGCTTCTAACTCATAGTATTTTATTTCCTTGTGTGCTTTTTGATTTTTTTTCTTTTTTTTTTTTTTGAGATGGAGTTTCACTCTTGTTGCTCAAGCTGGAGTGCAGTGGTACCATCTCAGCTCACTGCAACCTCCACCTCCTGGGTTCAAGCGATTCTCCTGCTTTAGCCTCCTGAGTAGCTGGGATTATAGGCCTGCACTACTAGGCCTGGCGAATTTTTTTAGTATTTTTAGTAGAGACTGGGTTTCACCATGTTGGCAGGCTAGTCTTCAACTCCTGACCTCAGGGGTCCACCTGACTTGGCCTTCCAAAGTGCTGTGATTACAGGCATGAGCCACTGCGCCCCAGCTGTTCTTTGACTTTTGACTAAAAGTGTATGGTTTTTTGACTTTTGGCTAAAAGTTTTGGTTCATTGGAATTGTTTGAGGTCTAGATTGAAGGGTGTTCTTCCAGAGAGGATTTTCTTTTCCTTATACTGTCTGTCTAGGGCACTACCAACCTAAGACCAACTTAATTTTCATCATAAAGTGTTTGGGACCACACAGACACTAAGAACTGTGGGGAATCTGAGATTCTACTCTGCCACGGTTAGCCTGCCACGTTGCTTGGATGTTGGCAGAAAACATGCTATTCTTTGGTCAGAGACAAAAGACAGTTTATTACTCAAAGCAATAGCAGTAGTCAGAGTGTCAGCGCTTGTGTTGGTTCCCCAAGTCCCAAATACAAAGTGGAGCAGGTGACATCTGCATATGCAGAGGGTTGCATTACAGCAAAGGATCCCCAAATTTAGGGAACATGGATGTTTTATGATGGGCATTAAGTTTGCTGCCTTTTTCTCCCCAGCAGAGGTAGCCATTATTCCTATCTTCCAATGCTATGAGCATATCTGCTGTCTGGTCTGGAGCGATATGCCATCTTTATCTTCCAAGCCTGCTTACTACACAAATTGGTAAAAAGATAGTGTGGAGCAAAGGCAGTTAGGGCTGCTGCTCACCAGATAGGCAGAAATGTGTGAGACTCATGAACAGTTGTTTCCAATCAACAGGTAGTTTGAGTCTGGACCAGGAACCCAGGCTTGTATTTAAGCAAATGTTTTGCCAGGCTAGGTGGCTCATGCATATAATCCCAGCACTTTGGGAGGCCGAGGGTGGGAAGATCACTTAGGGTCAGAATGCTGAGACCACCCTGGCCAATATGGTGAAAACCTGTCTTTACTAAAAACACAAAAATTAGCCAGGCATGGTGGAGCACACCTGTAGTCCCAGCTACTTGGGAGGCTGAGGCAGGAGGATTGCTCCATCCCGGGAGGCAGAGTTTGCTGTGAGTTGAGATCATGCCACTGCACTACAGCCTAGATGAGAGTGAGCCTCCATCTCAAAAAAAGTAAATACAATAAATAAACAAATATTTTATGTAATCTATCCAGCATTTTAGTTTTCTTTTTTTTTTTTTAGTGGGGGCATGGGAAGTTTATTTCTTGTATCTAATCTGCCATGCTGCCAGAGTGGCCAAAATGCAGTAAGGCAATTATTACTGGAGCTTAGGGTATCCTGAGCCACCTGAATAAATGCTGAGGGCTGTTCAACCTTTTGTTCTTTATCAAGGAGGCTGTCAGGTTTGGAAAAGAATGTACTTAGCCAACATGGCTGGGAAATGACATTTTTTCAGTTAACTGGGACTTTTCCCTAAAAATTTGCCTGCTCTAGGATTAATATCACCCCACATAAGGCTACTATACACAGGAAGTAAGTTCTCAGGGTTCTCTCTCTCTCTCTCTTTTTTTTTTTTTTTTTTTTTTTTGAGACAGAGTTTTGCTCCTGTTGCTTAGGCTGGAATGCAATGTGTGATCTCAGCTCACTGCAACCTCCATCTTCTGGGTTCAAGTGATTCTCCTGCCTCAGCCTCCCGAGTAGCTGGGATTACAGGCATGCACCATCATGCCTGGCTATTTTTTTTTATTTAGTAGAGATGGGGTTTCACTGTGTTAGTCAGGCTGGTCTTGAACTCCTGACTTCATGTGATCCACCAGCGTCGGCCTCCCAAAGTGCTAGGAATACAGGTGTGTGCCACCGCAATGAGCCGTTCTCAGGATTCTCTAAGTTGTCCATAGTTACACAGTTACATTGTTTTTTTCTTGGAAATTTTATTTATTTGAGACAGGGTCTCAATCTGTCACCCATCCTGGAGTGTAGTGGCATGCTCATAGCTCACCACAGCATTGAACTCCTGGGCTCAAGTATTCCTCCCACCTGAGCCTCCTGAGTAGCTGGGACTACAGGTGTACACCACCACAACCGGCTATGCTGGCAATCTTAGAAATGTTGCACATTTCCAATGTAATCACTAACACAGTAACTATCTGGATTCCTGCAGTGTAAACACACCAAAAACTTGCTCATGGGCCCAAAGTGTGGCCTATGATCAGCAGTAGCAGCAGCACCTGAGTGCAGTTAGAATTGTGTTCTACGGGCTGGGGCTGTGGTTCACACCTGTAATCCCAGCACTTTGGGAGGCCAAGGCAGGAGGATTGCTTGAAGCCAGGAGTTAAAGACCAGCCTGAGCAACATAGCAAGACACCTCATCTCTACAAAAAATAAAAATAAGATAAAGATAACAAATAAAAATAAAAATAAAAATAAAAATAGAAAACTAGCCAGGAATGATGGCATGTGCTTGTAGTCACAGCTACTCAGGAGGGTGAGGCAAGAGGATTGCTTTGAGTCCAGGAGTTCAAGGTTACGGTGAGCTATGATTGCACTACTGCATTCCAGCCTGGGCAACAGAGCAAGATCTCCTATCTGAAAAAACAAAAACACAAAGAAACAAAAGAGGCCAGGCATGCTGGCTTACGCCTGTAATCCCAGCACTTTGGGAGGCTGAGGTGGGCAGATCACTTGAGGCTAGGAGTTTGAGACCAGCCTGGCCAACATGGTGAAAGCCCCATCTCTACTAAAAATGAAACTATTATCCAGTTATGGTGGTACAATCCTGTAATCCCAGCTACTCGAGAGGCTGAGGCATGAGAATCGCTTGAACCCAAGAGGCAGAGGTGCAGTGAGTTGAGATCGTGCCACTGCGCTTCACCCTGGATGACAGAGTGAGACCCTGTATCAAAAAATAAAAATAAAAAATAAGGGGCTGGGCATGATGGCTCATGCCTGTAATCCCAGCACTTTGGGAGGCCAAGGCAGGCAGATCACTTGAGGTCAACAGTTTGAGACCAGCCTGGCTAACATGGTGAAGCCCTGTCTCTACTAAAAATATGAAAGTTAGCTGGGCGTGGTAGTGCATGTCAGTAATCCCAGCTACTCAGGAGGCTGAGGCAGGACAATCGTTTGAACCTGGGAGGCAGGGATTGTAGTAAGCTGAAATCATACCACTGCACTCCAGCCTGGGCTATGAAAAGAGACTGCATATATATATATGCAGATGTCTGAATGCTATTTCAAATGACCAATGTTAGGTTTTTTTGTTTGTCTGTTTGTTTTGAGTTGGAATTTTGCTCTTTTTGCCCAGGCTGGAGTGCAATGTGGCGATCTTGGCTCACTGCAGCCTCTGCCACCTGGGTTCAAGCGATTCTCCTGCCTCAGCCTCCCAAGTAGCTGAGATTATAGGCATGCGCCACCACACCTAGCTAAATTTTTTGTAGTTTTAGTAGAGATGGGGTTTCTCCATGTTGGTCAGGCTGGTCTCAAACTCCTGACCTCAGGTGATCTGCCCACCTCAACTTCCCAAAGTGCTGGGATTAGAGGGGTGAGCCACTACGTCCAGCCTCTTAAATTTTACAATAGTTATGCTATCCATAGAGGCAATTGGGGAAGTTACAAAATCTCATGCCCTCCAAAACAGTGGCTGAATTCTGCCTACATTTTAGCAGAATTCAGGACCCTTTTGAATCTGCCATTGTGAAATTATAATGGAGCTGACCTAACCAACTCCATCTTGCTTGTAACCTCCAAACTGTCCTTGTTCATTCCTGCGCTTAGGTTCAACTAACTTTGGGAGGAACTTAGTTTATAGTTTAAAACAAAGATGATAACAGCTCTTTCCCAAAACAAACCTCCTTCTTGCCTGGGAACTAGGCTGCCTTTGTAGGACTAACAAATTAGCCACAAGATTAGAAATTATGGTTTAGGAATCATGCAGCTGGAGCCTACAAGATTCTGACCCTCTCTTAACTGCTCCTAAGATCAGTGCTTGAGGTATTTTGCAGACCTTACACTTGATGTATCAAGTGGCGCCACCCAGATGGATAAAATGGCTCATCTGATCTTGTGGCCAGAAACTGACTCAGAGCAAAGGTACAACTTCAATTCCCTACCTAACTAACTTCATCGTCTACCTAACCAATCAGCACTCCTGGCTCATTAGCTTCCACCTACCCACCAGGTGTCCTTAAAAACTCTGATCCCAGAATGCTCAGGGAGACTGATTTGAGTAATAATAAAACTCCTCCTGTCTCCCGCACAGCCAGCTCTGCGTGTTACTCTTTCTCTATTGCAATTCCCCTGTCTTGAGAAATTGGCTGTGTTTAGGCAGCAGGCTCATAATCCTAATCTTGTGGCCTTTCATTAGTATTACAAAGGTGGTTTCAGTCCTTGAGCAAGGAGGGGTTTCATTATAGAGAGGGACTATTATCATCCTTGCTTCCAAGGTAAACTATAAACTAACCTACTCCCATGGTTAGTTTGGCCTATGGGCAGGAATGAGTAGCCTGTGAAGCTAGAGGCAAGGTGGAGTTAGCCATGCTAGTTTCTTCTCACTGTCCTAATCTTTGCAAAGGTGGTTTCAAAATCACGTTTTTTTTTTGTTGTTTGTTTGTTTGTTTTGTTTTTTTTTGAGACAGAGTCCTGTTCTGTTGCCCAGGTTGGAGTGCAGTGGCATGATCTCAACTCACTGCAACCTCTGCCTCCCGGGTTCAAGTGATTTTCCTGCCTCGGGCTCCTGAGTAGCTGGGACTACAGGCATGCCACTACCATGCCTGGCTAATTTTTTGTATTTTTAGTAGAGACGGGGTTTCACTGTGTTAGCCAGGATGGTCTCGATCTCCTGAACTTGTGATCTGCCTGCCTCATCCTCCCAAAGTGCTGGGATTATAGGCATAAACCACTGCCCCCAGCCCAAAATCATGGTTTTAAGAATCAGAACCTGAGGTCCACTCCTAAAAACAGTGTGACCTTAAACAAGTCACTTTAACATTTCCAAACATACAATTCTTATTTTGCAAGATTGTTAAGGGAATAAAAGGAAACCTTATAAAAGAGTGCCTATGGATTCCCGCCGCTCTGCCCTTCTCTGTCTTCTCTGCACTGGGAGCAGTTCTCCTGCCACAGTCCCTCATTCCCTCAAAATGTTTGCCTGCTCCAAGTTCGTCTCCACTCCCTCCTTGGTCAAGAGCACCTCACGGCTGCTGAGCTGTCCGCTAGCTGCAGTGGTGCTGAAACCACGAGAGACACTGACAGATGAGAGCCTCAGCAGCTTGGCAGTCTCACACCCCCTTACCTCACCTGTCTCTAGCCACAGCTTCCAAACCAGCGCCATTTCAAAGGACATCGACACGGCAGCTAAGTTCACTGGGGCTGGAGCTGCCACAGTTGGAGTGGCCGGCTCTGGGCTGGGATTGGGATTGGGACTGTGTTTGGGGGCCTCATCATTGGTTTCACCGGGAACCCTTCTCTGAAGCAGCAGCTCTTCTCCTACACCCTTCCGGGCTTTGCCCTCTCAGAGGCCATGGGGCTCTTTTGCCTGATGGTGGCCTTTCTCATCCTCTTCGCCAAGTGAAGGAGCCGTCTCCACCTCCCATAGTTCTTTCTCCCATGTGTCGTCGGTCCTGTGTGGTCCTTTTCCTATATACCTCCCCAGGAGACCTGGAAAGGTGGTTGGCTCAGGGTGTGATAGAGAAAAGACAAATAAATACTGTATTAACAAGAAAAAAAAAGAGTGCCTATGACAGTCCCTGTGGTGTAATGATATATAAGAGATATTGGTTTTTATCCACATTCCCTGGCTCATAACTCTCACAGTCCTTGTTATAGTTTTTGTTACAATGTCGAGTGCGTTGGGGAGGCCTCAGGAAATGGACTCTCTCTGCCCTCCTACCCTCCTTTCACTTGCCCCCGGAGATGGAACTTAATCTTCCCTCACACCTGCACCCTTTCTGATTGTGGGTGTCCAGACCCTCCCCAGAGGGGGCCGCTCTATACCCTGGGAGAATGAATACTGACATCATGAAGTCCAAGAGGACTGTGTTCTGAGAGCTTCTGAACTCTTGAATGTTCCCCAAGGCTGGTGGGCCCAGGGTGAGCATGGACGCTCCGAGCCCCTTCCCCCATACCTTGCCCTGTGCATCTCTTCATCTGTATCTTTTGTAATATCCTATTTTATAATAAACCGATAAATGTAGGTAAGTATTCTGTGAGCTGCTCCAGCAAATTAATTGAACCCAAAGAGGGGTTTGTGGGAACCCCAACTTGAAGCCAGTCAATCAGAAGTTCCAGAGGCCTGGACTTGTGACTGGTGTCTGAAGTGAGTGGTGGTCTTGGGGACTGAGCCCCCAACCCATGAGATCTGACACTATCTCCAGGTAGATAGTGTTGGCCTTGAATTGGAGGATACCCAACTGGTGCCTGCTGCTTGGTTTATGTGGAAAAGCACTTACACCTTTGGCCACAGAAACATGTGTCATTGTGGTATGAGAGTAAAGATAAAACATGGTTTGAAGGTTTCTCTTAAGCAGTGCCTATCACATATTAGGTAGGCAATAAATGTTAGTTGACTTTCTTTTCTCTTTTCATGCCTTGCCTAGAGAGAACTTTTTTCCCTATCATTCAAGTGTATAGAAACAGAGTGTTCTATAAATCCATGAGAAATGTCAGATATTAACATAGTTTACATTTGCATATGAATGGGAAAGATACAATCATAAAAGTTTCCTTGAAGGATGAAATACCGTTTATAACCCTAGAGATAAATGAAAAAAGTTTAAATTAAAACAGAAGTTGGGGGCCAGGCATGGCGGCTCACGCCTGTAATCTCAGCACTTTGGGAGGCTGAGGTGGGTAGATCACTTAAAGTCAGGAGTTTGAGACCAGCCTGGCTAACATAGTGAAATCCCATCTCTACTAAAATACAAAATTAGCTGGGTGTGGTGGCGGGCAACTATAATCCCAGTTACTTGGGAGGCTGCGGTAGGAGAATCCCTTGAACCCGGGAGGCAGAGGTTGCAGTGAGCTGAGATCGTGCCATTGCACTCCAGTCTGGACAACAGAGCAAGACTCCATCTTAAAAAAAATAAAATAAAACAGATAAAATATTGAAAGTTAGGTAGAAAAAGGTGTCCACCACATAGCCCAACATGCTTATTATAAGGAAGTTTGAAATGTAACACTGAACTTTCTTTTCTTTTTTCTTTTTTTTTTGGGATGGAGTTTCACTCTTGTTGCCCAGGCTGGAGTGCAATGGCACAATTTTGGCTCACCGCAACCTCCACCTCCTGGGTTCAAGTGATTCTCCTGCATCAGCCTCCCGAGTAGCTGAGATTGCAGGTGTCTGCCACCATGCCTTTCTAATTTTGTATTTTTATTAGTTAGTTATGCTGGTCTCGAACTCCCAACCTAAGGTGATCTGCCTGCCTCGGCCTCCTAAAGTGCTGGGATTACAGGCTTGAGCCACCACGCCCAGCCTGAGCTTTCTTTCTTTTTTCCAAGACGGAGTTTTGCTCTTGTTGCCCAGGCTGTAGTGCAGTGGCACAATCTTGGCTTACTACAACCTCCACCTCCCAGGTTCAAGGGATTCTCCTGCCTCAGCCTCCCGAGTAGCTGACTACAGGCATCCACTGCCATACCCAGCTAATTTTTGTATTTTTAGTAGAGTTGGGGTTTTACCTTGTTGGCCAGGCTGATCTCAAACTCCTGAACCCAGGTGATCCACCTGCCTCAGCCTCCCAAAGTGCTGGGATTACAGGCATGAGCCACTGTACCCGACCAACACTGAGCTTTCTAATTACCAAAGCTAAAAGGAAAATTCAATAAATTACATAAAGAAATTACTCTTTCGGGAGGCTGAGACAGGAGGATCCCTTGAGCCCAGGAGTTGAATCTGCAGTGGGCCATAAGGGGATTGCTGCACTCTAGCCTGGGGACAGAGCAAGACCCTGTCTCAAAAAACAAAATAAATAAATAAAAAGAAAATATTCCAGACACTATCCTTTATATTAAGGTCCAAAAGGAACCTATTGCATGGATCCTTGTACAGGGAGCATGGAACAATTTAATGAGATATATTTTCTTTCTTTCTTTTTTTTTTTTTTGAGACAGAGTTTCGCTCTTGTTACCCAGGCTGGAGTGCAATGGTGCGATCTTGGCTCACCGCAACCCCTGCCACCTGGGTTCAAGCAATTCTCCTGCCTCAGCCACCCAAGTAGCTGGGACTACAGGCTGCGCCACCATACCCAGCTAATTTTTGTATTTTTTAGTAGAGACGGGGCTTCACCATGTTGACCAGGATGGTCTCGATCTCTTGACCTACTGATCCACCTGCCTCGGCCTCCCAAAGTGCTGAGATTATAGGCATGAGCCACCACGCCTGGCATGCAATATATTTTCATGGTGCAATTGGAAAGCAGTTGCTTTTTATTTTGGAGACTGAGTCTCTCTCTGTCACCAGGCTGGAGTGCAGTGGCACCATCTTGGCTCACTGCAACCTCCACCTCCTGGGTTCAAGCGATTCTCCTGCCTGCCTCAGCCTTCTGAGTAGCTGGAATTACAGGTATCCGCCACCACGCTTGGCTAATTTTTGTATTTTTAGTAGAGACAAGGTTTCATAATATTGGCCAGGCTGGTCTTGAACTCCTGAGCTTGTGATCCACCCACTTCGGCCTCCCAAAGTTCTGGGATTACAGGCATGAGCCACTGTGCCCAGCCCCTTTTTTTTTGTTTTCTGAGACAAAGTTTCGATGTTTCATCCAGGCTGGAGTGAACAGCTGTGATCATTCCCTCCAGCCTGGATGAGTGAACGATCACACCTGTTCACTCCAGCCCCCTGGGTTCAAGCGACTCTCCTGCCTCAGCCTCACTGCAACCTCAGCCCCCTGGGTTCAAGCGACACTCCTGTATCAGCCTCCCAAGTAGCTAGGATTACAGGCGGCTGCTACCATGCCAGGCCAATTTTTGTATTTTCAGTAGAGATGGAATTTTACCATGTTGGCCAGGCTTGTCTCAAACTCCTGACCTCAGGTGATCCACCCACCTCAGTCTCCTAAAGTGCCAGGATTACAGGTATAAGCCACTGCACCCCGATGGAAAGTAGTTGTTAACATAATAAAAATATAACTTTTAAGAGTTATATTGTTATTGTTATAATAAAATATAAAAATATAGCTCTTTTTTTTTTTTTTTTTTTGAGACGGAGCTTCACTCTTGTTACCCAGGCTGGAGTGCAATGGCGCGATCTCGGCTCACCGCAACCTCCGCCTCCTGGGTTCAGGCAATTCTCCTGCCTCAGCCTCCTGAGTAACTGGGATTACAGGCACGCGCCATCATGCCCAGCTAATTTTTTGTATTTTTAGTAGAGACGGGGTTTCACCATGTTGACCAGGATGGTCTTGATCTCTTGACCTTGTGATCCACCCGCCTCGGCCTCCCAAAGTGCTGGGATTACAGGCTTGAGCCACCGCGCCCGGCCTAAAAATATAGCTTTTAAGAGTTATATTTTAACATAACATATATATTATATTTTATTATAACATAATAAAATATAGCTCTTAAAAGTTATATTTTTATTATGTTAGTTATTATGTGGTATGGTTTTTCATACTAGTAGATTTAATATGGATTGAAGACAGGCTGATTTTTTTTTTTCCTTCTTTCATTACTAAAACCCAGAGCTTGATAAGCCCTCTGGAAGTGGATTATCTCTAATTTTTAGAAAACTTTTATATATCAGAGGAATTTTTTTTTTTTTTGAGACAGGGTCTTGCTCTTGTTGCCCAGGTTGGAGTGCAATGATGTAATCTCTGCTCACTGCAACCTCTACCTACCAGGTTCAAGCAGTTCTCCTGGCTCAGCCTCCCAAGTAGCTGAGATTACAGGCGTGTGCCACCTCACCTGGCACACGCCTGTAATCTGCCTCATCCTCCTGAGTGTCTGGGACTATAGGCACACACCAGCACACCCAGCTAATTTTGTAGTTTTAGTAGAGACGGGATTTCTCCATGTTGGTCAGGCTGGTCTCGAACTCCCAACCTCAAGTGATCCACCCACCTCGGCCTCCCATAGTGCTGGGATTACAGGTGTGGGCCACGGTGCCCAGTCCAGAGGAATTTTTTTCTTTTTCTTTTTTTTTCCCCCTCCAGATTAGCTTTACTGTATTAGGAATTTTTTTTTTTTTTTTTTCTGAGATGGAGTTTCGCTCATCACCCTGGCTGGAGTGCAGTGGCACACTCTGGGCTTACTGTAACCTCCACCTCCTGGGTTCAAGCGATTCTCCTGCCTCAACCTCCCGAATAGCTGGGAGTTCAGGTGCCCGCCACCACATTTGGCTAATTTTTTGTATTTTTAGCAGAGACAAGGTTTCACCATGTTGGCCAGGCTGGTCTTGAATCCCTGACCTCAGGTGATTTGCCTACCTCGGTCTCCCAAAGCGCTGGGATTATAGACGTGAGCCACTGTGTCTGGCCAGGAATATCTTATGTATCAGTTATGAACCTGGTAAAACTTCAGCCAGAATTATTGTAACCCGTATAGAAAGCATGTAGACAACTGGAAGAAAATATTTTTCTTTTTTTTTTAAGTTTTAAATAGGGGTGGGACTCTCGCTTTGTTGCCCAGGCTGATTTCGAACTCCTGGGCTCATGTAATCTTCCCATCTCGACCTCCCAAAGTGCTAGGATGACAGGTGTGAGGCTTTTTTCTTTTTTTGGGGGGACAGTTTCTCAGACTGTAGCACAGTGGTGGTGTCACAGCTCACTACAGCATCAAACTCCCGGGCTCAAGCAATCTTCCCATCTCAGCTTTCCAAGTAGGACTATAGGCACTTGCCACCACATCTGGCTAAGTTTTTAGAAAAATTTTTGTAGAGACAAGGTCTCATTGTGCTGCCCAGGCTGGTCTCGAACTCTTGAGCTCAAAGCATCTTCCCTTCTCAGCCTCTCAGAATATTGGGATTACAGGTGTGAGTCAAGGTGCCTAGCCTGAAAGCACTGTTTCATGTCTATCAACAGAGACCAACTCTTCACCAGCCTATAAATAATCTCAGCTTGCTATACCCACTAGGTTCATTTCCAGTAAAATAAATACAAGTACATTAAAAAACAAAACAAAGCAAACAACCTTGGTCAGGACAGAAAAAAGTATAAAAAGGTTTTCTTAACTAAAAAAACAAAACAAGCCAATTGATGTCTTAGTTTTGCTATGATTTTAGAAAGAAAATGTTAGCATCGAAGTTTCCTGTGAATTTCCTAAGAGCTTGAAACAAAAATAAATGACAAGAAATGTTTTGGAAATATTCTAAATGAAAATCTTTTGTCAAATTTTTTATACTCCAGTATTTAGTGACTCTATTATCTCTATACTATTGTGTAGTATTTTTTTTAACTTCACAATATAAATGAACATCTTTCTCCATCGATACAAACTAGATGTACAACATTCTGTTACATGGTTCCAGTAAAGTCCACTGAAAGGTTATATTATTATTTATTTAACCAATATTTAAATTGTTTCTATTTTTCGTGATAAAACAGTCATAGCCAACATCATACATATATATATTTTTTAACATCTCCAAAGATAAGCATGGATTTTTGTTGTTGTTGTTCATGTATCTTTCCACACTTGTCTAGTTACTTTCTTAAGACTTCTCAAAAGTGGGATTGTTAGGTCAAAAGGGATACTTTTGGATTCCTATTGCCAGATTGCCTTCAGGAAAGATTACATTGGCTTATCTTCCCATTGAGAATGTATGACATTGTCCAATTTCCCAGTCTTTAGTTAAAACTGAGCTAGCTTCAGTGATTTTTTTTTTTTTTTTTTTTTGAGTCAGGGTCTTGGTCTGTTGCCCTGGCTGGAGTGCAGTGGTGCAATCACGGTTCACTGCAGCCTTGGCCTTCCTGGGCTCAAGTGATCCTCCTGCCTCAGCCTCCCAAGTAGCTGGGACTGATTTTTTAAATAATAGAATTTGCAAAGATTCAGAAGATCTGCATAACTCAATGAAACAAAATATTTTCCAATGACAAATGTCTGATGCTACAAATTAAGAAAAAGATCCATTCAAAGTGCAGGATAGACCAGTGGATTTTAAGGTAACTGAATATAAAAACTTCATTACTATAGTTTCAGATTCCACATTGTAACTAACTTAGTAAACATACCACTTGTTGAGTTTTGAGGTAGTATCATATAATAGTATCCATATAATTATCTGAAAACGCTATTTAAATGCCCTTCCCTTTTTTAACTATATACTATGTAATGCCAGATTTTTTTTTTCTTGTAGATATGGGGGTCTCACTGTGTTGCCCAGACTGATCTTGAACTCTTGAGCTCGAGCAGTCTTCCTGCCTTGGCCTTCCAAAGTGCTAGGAATACAGGCATGAGCCCCGCATTCAGTGAGATTTAAAATATATATATATGTGTGTGTGTATATATATATACTTAACCAAAACAACATATTGCAATAGAATGACTGCAGAAGCAGATAGGGAAATCTACCTGTAGTCTATAAATTTAGATATAGAGATTTACAAACATGTAAAACAATGACATGCTTCTCATTTTTTTATTTTTGTTTTGGAAAGCACAATTATTTTCATATAAACATGCTAGAATTATTATTTTTTTTAGGAGATGAGGTTTTACTCTGTCACTCAGGCTGAAGTGCAGTGGCATGATCACAGCTCACTGCAGCCTGGGACACCTGGGCACAAGTGATTCTCCCACCTCAGCCTCCCAAAGTGCTGAGATTACAGGCATGAGTTACCATGTCTGGCTTTGTTATTTCTGAATAATTAATAATTAACCAAAAAATTATCAACCAGTCTAGACAACAAAGTAAGACTCCATCTCTACAAAAAAATCAAACAAATTAGCCAGGCGTGGTCGCTGGCACCTATGGTCCCAGCTACACAGGAGGCTGAGGCAGGAGGATTACTTGAGCCCAGGAAGTTCAGGCTGTAGTGAGCCATGTTTGCAGCACTGCACTCTAGCCTGGGCGACAGTCTCAAAAAAAAAAAAAAAATCAATTGTTATTCTTCATACACAAAATATTGATAACTATTACCCACATAAGCAAGAGTTCTTATGTTCCTCAACTCTTATTTATTTTATTTTAATTTCATTATTATTATTTTTGTAGAGACAGGGTCTCACTATGTTGCCCAGGCTGGTCTTGAACTCCTGAGCTCAAACAATCCTCCTCCCTCAGCCTCTCAAAGTGCTGAGATTATAGGCCTGAGCCTTTGTGCCCAGCTTTTATTTTTCAATTTTTAAGAGGGTAAACAAATGCAAAGTCCAAAGAGTTTGAGAGGAGTTAGTATACTATATGAGTTTTGTTTTAAAAAATAGTTTTAGTCAAATTAATTTTTTTCTTCTTTTTTTAAAAAAATTAGTCCTTTTTTCTTTATTTTATATGGAAGGATTGTTAGTCACTAAAATGAACTATTATAAAAGTATATAGGCATACATGCTAAGTCCTACTTATAGAGAAATAAATTATAAAGTCACTGAGAAGATTTTAAACTAAACTATTCCTGAGAATATTTAATAGGCACATTGCAATTCTTTCTCCAGATTTACTTACTAACCATGGCTCTTAGTTTCTATTTCGGTTTAACTGGTTCTTAGAATTAGGCTACCTGAAGTGTTCTTTTTTTTCCCTGGTGCATACAATAATTTTTGTTTGATTTTTCTGGATGTCTTTGCATCATCAAAACTAGTGCTATATCCCAATTCTATCATCACATTCTCTTGGCCATTGTAGAAGGTAAATCAGAGGAGAAAAATACTCTGGACAACTGAAGCATTCTTTTATTTCACAAATTATGAATTTCTATGGAGTACTATAAACTGCTAGGCACTATGCATTTCTTGGTGAATGAAATAGACACAGCCTTTGCCTTCATACTATGATTCTTGCTTCTGTTTAAAAATAGGTGAATTGGCCAGGCACAATGGCTTATGCCTATAATCCCAGCACTTTAGGAGGCTGAGGCAGGTGGATCACTTAGGCCAGGAGTTTGAGATTAGCCTGGCCAACATGGTGAAGCCTCATCTCTACTGAAAATATAAAAATTAGCTGGGTGTGGTGATGGGTGCCTGTAATCCCAGTTACTTTGGAGGCTGAGGCAGGAGAATCACTTGAACCTGGGAGGCAGAGGTTGCAATGAGCCGAGATTGTGCCATTGCACTCCAGCCTGGGTGACAGAGTGAGACTCTGTCTCAAAAATCCGCAAAAACAGAAAAAAAAAAAAAAACCACCAGAAAACAAAAAGTGGATGGAACAAACATGTCCTGTGTTTCTTAACATATCACTGAAATAGATTCAGAAGTGAAAAGAGGGGTAACCTAAGAGTGAGAACACTACTGGATGAGCTTTTATGTATTACTATTCTTACCGGTGATAAGTTCAAATTTTAAAAGTACATAAAAATAAAGACAAATTATGTCTATAACACTGTGATAGGTTTGTAATAGAGTACAGGCAGCTATAGCTTTTCTATAGGTCTTGTATACAAGGTTGGAGAGATGCAGGTGGTTTGTCACAGACCTCTGAGCAGTTCTGGGGCTACCAGAGTTGGCACAGGAGGGAGTGCAGCAATAGACTTCAGAGCTGGGTTATCAATTGAAGAATTGCACATAGGCCAGGCTTGGTGGCTCATGCCTATGATCTCAGCACTATGGGAGGCTGGGAGGCTGAGGTGGGAGGATTACTTGAGTCCAGGAGTTTGAGACCAGCCTTAGAAACATAATGAGTCCTCATCTCTACAAAAAATTAGCCAGGCATGGGCCAAGCGCCATGGCTCACGCCTGTGATCCCAGAAGTTTGGGAGGCTGAAGTGGGCAGATCATGGGGTCAGGAGTTAGATACCAGCCTGGCTAATATGGTAAAACCCATCTCTACTAAAAATACAAAAAAAATAGCCAGCTATGTGGTGTGCCTGTAGTCCCAGCTACTCGGGAGGCTGAGGCAGGAGAATCACTTGAACCAGGAGGTGGAGGTTGCAGTGAGCTGAGATAGCGCCACTGTACTCCAGCCTGGGCGACAGAGTGAGACTTCATCTCAAAATAATAATAATAATAAAAATTAGCCAGGCATGGTGGCCCGCACCGTAGTCTCAGTTACTTGGGAGGCTGAGATGTGAGGATTACTTGAGCCTGGAAGTTTGAGGCTGCAGTGAGCTGTGATCATGCCACTTCACTCCAACCTGGGTGACAAAGTGTACCCTGTCTAAAATAAATAAATAAATAAATAAAAAAAATTGCATATAAAACAGTTGATTTTCTCTTATCCACTCCATTTCCCCTATGGGAAAAGTGTTGTCAAAGCAAAGCCATTAGACATTTAGCATCAGGCTGAAAACAGGAGTGGTGTTGAAAGACAAAAAATGCTAAGGTTTCCAATGTAAACATTAGCTCCTGAGAGGAAAGTGAAAGACAAGATTGACAAGAGGCCTTAAGAATCAAAGAAGACTGGCCCGGGCGCGGTGGCTCAAGCCTGTAATCCCAGCACTTTGGGAGGCCGAGGCGGGTGGATCACGAGGTCAAGAGATCGAGACCATCCTGGTCAACATGGTGAAACCTTGTCTCTACTAAAAATACAAAAAATTAGCTGGGAATGGTGGCAGGTGCCTGCAGTCCCAGCTACTCAGGAGGCTGAGGCAGGAGAATTGCCTGAACGCAGGAGGCGGAGGTTGCGATGAGCCGAGATCACGCCATTACTCTCCAGCCTGGGTAACAAGAGTGAAACTCTGTCTCAATAAAAAAAAAAAAAAAAAAGAAAAAGAAACAAACAAAAAAAAGAATCAAAGAAGACCAACCTTTGACTAATGAGAGTCCTCAAGGCTGGGTATGGTGGTTCATGCCTATAATCTCAGCACTTTCCGGGGGTCAACCAGTCGAATACCCCTTTGTAAATATTGGCCAAACCGCATCCATTATACACTTCTTTATTATCATTACCCTAATTCCCCTCTCCGCTTTAATCGAAAACAAACTACTTAAATGATAAACATCCTTGTAGTATAATTTAATACCCCAGTCTCGTAAACCAGAAAGGGAGAGCATCTACTCCCCAGGACAATCAGGCAAAGAATATCTAATTCTACCATCAACACCCAAAGCTGATATTCTAATCTTAAACTATTCCCTGAGTAACTAATTAATTTTTATATCATTGAAGGCTTAGCCATGAAGTACTTTGTAAGTACATATAATATAATATCTTTACCCTTATTATGTAATTAGTACATTATTGTTTGTTCCCATGAATAATACATAGTACTGCAAATGCTTAATTATACATAACACATTAAACCAAAACGTGCATTAAAACACCACAAAGCATGCTTACAAGCAAGAACTGTAATCTCACATCAGACCATAACACATTTAAATCCAAAAAGCACATAAGAACACAGCGAGCGCACGAATATCATCTAGTACATAGCGTCATTAACTGTACATCTGTACATTAAGTTATTGATTGGACATAGCACATCACACTTTGACAGTCCTTCTAACCATGGATAGCCATCATTATATTTGGTCTCTTAATCTACCATCCTCCATGAAACCAGCAACCCGCCCACATTTGCTGCTGTTCTTGCTCCAGGCCCGTATAGACAGGGCTTGGTTATACTGAAAAGATATCTAGCATTTGGCTCCTACCTCAGGGCCATCTCATTAAGATCGCATATACATTTCCCTTAAATAAGACATCACAATGGTGTGGCGCTATCACCCTCTTAACTCAATCACGGGAGCACGACGGGCCTTTAGTATTTTAACTTTTGGGGGTATAATCATCAGCATTGCCAGGAGGCTCCGGAAGTATCCCAACCACTGTCCTGTGGTAACTGAATGTGTTTTGCCAGGCTTTATGCTATCATCGCACTTATATTGAATGTCTTGGCCCGCATCCTGACCACTAAGGTGTTATTCAGTCAATGGTTACAAGTATAATAAATAATTAACTAGTATTTATACCCAATTAAATCCAAAGCCACCACTCCAACAACCAAGTATATATATATATACCCAAAACCTTAAGCACAATCCATATTTTCTGAGGCAGATACCATAAAGAGACATCCCACTACTAACATTATTGACTAATACAAGTCCTACTAACTGGAAAACATATGCGCCCTACAATTACCCTAAACCAATAGATAATACTGCCCGTGGTTACTCCCCACATACCTCAAACCATGCCTTTCAGAAAACATACTTATACTAATGTAGTAGTAAGTTAGATTTTAAACCTATATAAGCCCACCACTATATATATCCGTTTAAGTATTTATCAAGTTAATGTAGCTTAATATTTAAAGCAAGACACTGAAAATGTCTAGACAGGTAATAATCACCCCATAAACATATACAGCTAGTGCTCGACTTACGACCACGATTTGTTCCAACAGACCGGTCGTAACACGATTTGGTCATAAGTTGAGTAGGCTATATGTACAGTACTGTGAAATGATGTCATAAAAATCTTTAAGTCATATTTTGTCATAATTTTCTTTCATTATTGTTATATATCATAATTTTCTTTGTTCATTTTATTCAATTTGTATCATCTCTACACCATTTTGTTTCTTATTTTTACATTCGTCAGGTTTAAGTAAAACACTGCATTACCAGTACAACTGGTTTAATATTTGCAAAACATACAAAATTACAAAATACAGGGGCATACAAAAATACAAAATACAGGTGTAAAAAATACCATAGGAATCATTTTCCCAATTGCAAAACATATCAAAATATATAAACATGTACGAAACATTTTATTGGCCGCTGGTGCTTGGCTGCGGATCGTTGATGTCGTCATCTGAGGCAGCAGTTGGGGTTACCGGAGTTGGTTTTTTCATAAACATGGTGAGCTTTGTCTGAATTGTATGTTTCTTTTTTTCTTCATAAATTTCACGATACGGACTTAACACATCTGTGCCATCCGTTCAATCCTTGCAAATCGTTTGATGTTTGGGTCCATTGCTTCGAAATGTATAAGAAGTTTATTGGGAGGGGTTTGATGAAAAATATCCAAGACACAAAACATAAATTGCTGTACGGAGTCTGGGATAACAGTTGAAATGGTGCATGCGGAGATGGTAGTGCTGCCGGAAGCTGGTCCGCACTGTCGTACGCCCAGCTGGGCAACGTTTGTGCTGCCAGATGCGGAGCAGTCGTGGCTAGTGATTGTGGTCGAAAAGTTGAATGGTCGTAAGTTGCATAGGTCGTAAGTCGATTAATACCTGTAGGTTTGGTCCTAGGCTTTCTATTAGCTCTCAGTGAGATTACACATGCAAGCATCCACAGCCCTGTGAAAATGCCCTCTAGATTATCAGAACATGAGGAGTGAGTATCAAGCACGAGTACATGCAGCTCAAAACATTTTGCTTAGCTACGCCCCCACAGGAAACAGCAGTGACAAACTTTTAGCAATGAACGAAAGTTTAACTAAGTTACACGGACTATTAGAGTTGGTCAATTTTCGTGCCAGCCACCGCGGCCATATGATTGACTCAAGTTAATAGAGCCCGGCGTAAAGAGTGTTTAAGATTTTATTCCCAATAAAGTTAACCTATAACTAGGTCGTAGAAAACCCCAGTTATGGTAAAATATCCTATGAAAGTGGCTTTAGTACCCTGAATACACTATAGCTAAGGTACAAACTGGGATTAGATATCCCACTATGCTTAACCCTAAACTTCAATAACTTAACCAACAAAATTATTCGCCAGAACACTACAAGCAATAGCTTGAAACTCAAAGGACCTGGCGGTGCTTTACATCCATCTAGAGGAGCCTGTTCTATAATCGATACACCCCGATAAACCTTACCACCTCTTGCCCTCAGCCTGTATACCGCCATCTTCAGCAAACTCCTTAAAAAGTAAGCAGAAGTATCATCATAAAAACATTAGGTCAAGGTGCAGCCAATGAAGTGGGAAGAAATGGGCTACATTTTCTAAATTAGAAAAGCTACACGATAGCCTTTATGAAATCTAAGGGCCTAAGATGGATTTAGCAGTAAATCAAGAATAGAGAGCTTGATTGAAACCGGGCCATTAAGCACGCACACACCGCCCGTCACCCTCCTCAAACATCACATAAAAGTACATTAACAATAAACCACTACACACTGATATAGAGGGGATAAGTCGTAACATGGTAAGCATACTGGAAAGTGCGCTTGGACGAATCAAAGTGTAGCTTAAACTAAAGCATCTGGCTTACACCCAGAAGATCTCACAACAGATGATCGCTTTGAGCTAACTCTAGCCCAAACCCTGTACAACTAACTATACTACTTAAATACAATAACTAAATCATTTACCTATTACAAAAGTATAGGCGATAGAAATTATACTATAGGCGCAATAGATATAGTACCGTAAGGGAAAGACAAAAACCTAACAAAGCATAAAAAAGCAAAGACAAACCCTTTTACCTTCTGCATAATGAATTAACTAGAAATAACTTTACATAGAGAACTTCAACAATGCCCCGGAAACCAAGCGAGCTACCCAAGGATAGCTAAAAGAGCATACCTGTCTATATGGCAAAATAGTGGGAAAATCTGTGGGTAGTGGTGACAAACCTACCGAGCCTGGTGACAGCTGGTTGTCCAAGATAGAATCTTAGTTCAACATTAAATTTACTTACAGAACCATTTAATCCTCCCATAAGGGACAGCTCTTTAGACCCTAGGAAATAACCTTTTATAGAGAGTAAAATATTCCACGACCATAGTTGGCCTAAAAGCAGCCATCAATTAAGAAAGCATTTAAGCTCATTACTTAATTACTCTTTTTTTTTTTTTTTTTGGGACGGAGTCTCGCTCTTGTTACCCAGGCTGGAGTGCAATGGCGCGATCTCGGCTCACCGCAACCTCCGCCCCCTGGGTTCAGGCAATTCTCCTGCCTCAGCCTCCTGAGTAGCTGGGATTACAGGCACGCAACACCATGCCCAGCTAATTTTTTGTATTTTTAGTAGAGACGGGGTTTCACCGTGTTGACCAGGATGGTCTCGATCTCTTGACCTCGTGATCCACCCGCCTCAGCCTCCCAAAGTGCTAGGATTACAGGCTTGAGCCACCGCACCCGGCTTTTACTTAATTACTCTTAATTCTATTCATTCCACTGAACTCCTAAAACACATTGGACTAATCTATTACTTAATAGAAGCAATAATGTTAGTATAAGTAACATGAACTTATTCTCCCTGCATAAGCTTATCTCAGACCGAAACAACTACTGTTAGTTAGCAGCCCAATCATTACATACTACAGCTTAATTTATCCATTAACTAAACTGTTAACCCAACACAGGCATGCATCCAGGAAAGATTTTAAAAAGTAAAAGGAACTCGGCAAACTCTACCCCTGCCTGTTTACCAAAAACATCACCTCTAGCATTATCAGTATTAGAGGCACTGCCTGCCCAGTGACACATGTTTAACGGCTGCAGTACCCTGACCGTGCAAAGGTAGCATAATCACTTTTTCTCTAAACAGGGACTTGTATGAATGGCCACACGAGGGTTTAACTGTCTCTTACTTTTAATCAGTGAAATTGACCTATCCTTGAAGAGGCAGATATACCTAAATAAGATAAGAAGACCCTATTGAGCTTCAATTTAATAATACAAACTAGTACTTTAAAAACCCACAGGCACTAACCTACTGTCAATGTATTATAAATTTTGGTTGGGGTGAACTCGGAGTATAGCACAGCCCCCAGAAAGACACATACCAAGACCTCACTAGTCTAAGTAAATCTACACTTATTGACCCAATAACTTGATCAATGGACTAAGTTACCCTAGGGATAGCAGCGCAATCCTATTTTAGGGTCCATATCGACAACAGGGTTTTTTATGACCTCAATGTTGGATCAAGACTTCCTAATGGTGCAGCCGCTATTAAGGGTTCATTTGTTCAACGATTAAAGTCTTACGATCTGAGTTCAGATCGGAGAAATCCAGGTCGGTTTCTGTCTATTAAATATTCCTCCCAGTACGAAAGGACAAGAGAAATAGGGCCTACTTCACAAAGTGCCCTCACAAATCAGATGACCATTATCTCAATCTTACAAGTTACTACTCTTACCCAAGAACAGGGCTGGTTAAGATGGCAGAGCCCGGTAATTGCATAAAACTTAAAACTTTATGATCAGAGGTTCAATTCCTCTTCTTAACGACGTGTTTATAGTTAATTTATTCTTACTAGTTATTATTATTTATTCCTACTAATTATTATTATTTATTCCTACTAGTTATCCTGCCCTAATTGCTACAGCATTCTTAACACTCATAGAACGAAAAATCTTAGGCTATATGCAATTCTGCAAAGGCCCTAACATTGTAGGCCCCTACGGAACACTCCAACCAATTGCCGATGCAATAAAACTTTTTACAAAAGAACCCCTACTACCCGCAACATCCACCACAGCTATACGTAGCTGCCCCAGCCCTAGCCCTCTCCATTGCCCTCCTTCTATGAACCCCCCTCCCCATACCATATCCCCTAATTAACTTCAACCTGGGCCTCCTATTTGTACTAGCAACATCAAGTCTAGCTGTTTACTCAATCCTATGATCTGGATGAGCATCCAACTCAAACTACGCATTAATTGGCACATTACAAGCTGTAGCTCAGACAATCTTATATGAAGTTACCCTGGCTATTATTCTACTATCAACCCTCCCAATAAGTGGTTCGTTTAACTTAAACACTCATTCATTACAACACAAGAACGCTCGACTCCTACTACCATCATGACCCCTAGCCATAATATGATTTATCTCCACATTAGCAGAAACTAACCGAGCCCCCTTCGATCTAACAGAAGGCAAATCAGAACTAGTTTCAGGTTTTAATATTGAATATGCTGCGGGCTTATTTGCTCTATTCTTCATAGCAGAATACATAAATATTATTGTAATAAATACCCTAACCACTACCATCTTCCTAGCAGCACCTTACAACACAACTGTATCAGAACTCTACACAATTAATTTTATAACCAAAACCCTTCTATTAGCTACCCTATTTTTATGAATTTGAACAGCATACCCTAGATTTAGCTATGACCAACTAATACATCTCCTATGAAAAAATTTTTTACCACTTACACTAGCACTATGCATATGATATATTTCAATACCTATCCTAATATCTGGTATTCCACCCCAAACATAAGAAATATGTCTGACAAAAGAATTACTTTGATAGAGTAAATCATAGAGGTTTAAATCCTCTTCTTTCTAGAATTATAGGAATTGAACCCATACCTGAGAACTCAAAATTCTCTGTGCTACCTATTACACAATATTCTAAATAGTAAGGTCAGTTAAATAAGCTATTGGGCCCATACCCCAAAAATGTTGGCTTAACCCTTCCCGTACTAATATTAATCCTTTAGCCTACCTCATTATTTCCCTTACTATCCTAATAGGAACCGTAATTACAATTTTAAGCTCACACTGATTCCTCATCTGAATAGGCTTAGAATTAAATATGTTAGCTATCATACCAATACCAGCTAAAAACACAAGCTCCCGCTCCACGGAAGCATCCACTAAATATTTTTTAATTAAAGTAACCGCATCTATAATCCTCTTAATAGCCATTTTCCTCAACAACCTATTTTCTGGACAATGAACAATTAACCCATCCCTTAATCAAATTTTATCTACAACAATATTAATTGACCTGATAATAAAATTAGAAATAGCCCCCCTTCACTTCTGACTCCATGACGTTTTATCTATAGGAGCAGTATTTGCTATTATAGGGGGCTTTATTCACTGATTTCCATTATTCTCGGGTTATACACTTGACCAGACTTATGCTAAAATTCATTTTATCATCATATTTGTAGGTGTAAATTAAACTTTCTTTTCACAGCATTTTCTCGGCTTATCTGGAATGCCTCGACGATATTCAGATTATCCCGATGCATGCACTACATGAAACATCGTCTCCTCTGTAGGCTCATTCATTTCACTAATAGCAGTTATTCTAATAATTTTTATAATTTGAGAAGGTTTCTCCTCAAAATGAAAAGTTTCAACCATTGAGCAACTATCTACCAACCTAGAATGACCCTATGGCTGCCCTCCTCCTTATCACACATTTGAAGAGTATACTTATGTAAAAGCTCTAAGCGAAAAAGGAAGGATTTGAACCCCCCAAAATTGGTTTCAAGCCAATCCCATAGACTCTATGACTTATTCAATAAGATATGAGTAAAATAATTACATAACTTTGTCAAAGTTAAATTATAGACCAAAAATCTATATATCTTAACGGCAACACCAGCTCAGTTAGGCTTACAAAAGGCTACATCCCCTATTATAGAAGAACTTACTGCTTTTCACCATCACACACTTATAATTATTTTCCTAATTAGATCACTAGTCCTATACATTATTTCCCTAATACTTATTACAAAACTAACCCACACTAGTACCATAAATGCCCAAGAAGTCGAAATAATCTCAACTATCCTTCTCGCCATTATTCTTATTATAATTGCTCTTCCATCCCTACGTATTCTATATATAACAGACAAATTTAATAAACCCTACTTAACCCTTAAAGCAATTGGTCACCAATGATACTGAAGCTATACTCAGACTATGAAGATTGAGCCTTTGATTCCTATACCAACATATTTCCTTGAACTCGGCGAATTTTGACTTTTTTTTTTTTTTTTTTTTTGGGACGGAGTTTCGCTCTTGTTACCCAGGCTGGAGTGCAATGGCACGATCTCGGCTCACCGCAACCTCCGCCTCCTGGCTTCAGGCAATTCTCCTGCCTCAGCCTCCTGAGTAGCTGGGATTACAGGCACACACCACCATGCCCAGCTAATTTTTTGTATTTTTAGTAGAGACAGGGTTTCACCATGTTGACCAGGATGGTCTCGATCTCTTGACCTCGTGATCCACCCGCCTCGGCCTCCCAAAGTGCTGGGATTACAGGCTTGAGCCACCGCGCCCGGCCCTCGACTTCTTAAAGTAGATAATCGAACAACCTTACCAATAGAAGCAGCTATTCGTATGCTAATTTCAACACAAGACATCTTACACTCATGAGCTGTCCCAACACTGGGTGTTAAAACAGATGCAATCCCCAGATGTTTAAATCAAGCTATACTAGCCTCTATGCGACCAGGCCTATTTTATGGGCAATGCTCAGAAATTTGTGGAGCAAACCACAGCTTTATGCCTATTGTCCTAGAATTCATTTATTTCCAAGATTTTGAAGTATGAGCCTCTTACTTATATCACTGTACAGCTACTTAGTATTAACCTTTTAAGTTAAAGATTGACAGAACCCCTCTCTCTACAGCGAATGCCTCAACTAGATATTTCACCATGACTAATGGTGATCCTATTAATAGTTGTAACCCTATTTTATATTATTCAGTTAAAAATACTGAATTTTATCTTCCATATTACCCCTTCATCAAAATTAACTAAAACACAAAAACATAAAACAACTTGAGAACTAAAATGAACCGAAATCTATTTACCTCTTTCAATACCCTGATAATCTTAGGAATCCCCCTAGTAGTGTTATTTTTTTTCCTACTACACTAATTATGCCCTCTAACAACCTAATCAACAACCCACTTTCCTCCCTTCAACAATGACTAATTCAACTTACACTAAAACAAATAATAACAGTTCATACCATTAAAGGACGAACTTGATCCCTAGACTTCTAGGTCTATTTACCTTCATCGCCCTAAATAACCTTCTCGGACTTACACCGAACACATTTACACCAACTACTCAACTATCAATAAATTTAGGCATAGCAATTCCTCTGTGAGCAGCAACTGTGCTCATAGGACTTCGATTTAAAACAAAAGCATCTTTTGCCCATTTCTTACCTCAAGGAACACTCATCACACTTATTCCTATACTAGTTATCGTTGAAACAATTAGTCTTTTTATTCAACCAGTAGCACTAGCCTTATGGTTAACAGCCAACATCATAGCAGGCCACCTATTAATGCACCTACTCGGAGATACTACACTAACTCTTCTAACCATCTATCTCTCCTCTTCCACAATCACTATCATCATTATTATCTTACTAATTACCCTAGAATCGGACGTAGCCCTCATCCAAGCCTATGTTTTCACACTTTTAGTAAGACTCTATCTGCATGGTAATTCATAATGACACACCAAACATACGCTTAACACATAGTCAACCCAAGTCCCTGACCACTAACAGGAGCCCTGTCAGCCTTTCTATTAACCTCTGGCCTAATTATATGATTCCATTTCTACTATACTCTTCTCCTTACTGCAGGGCTATTAGCTAGCTCAATAACAGTATTTCAGTGATGACGTGATGTAGTCCGAGAGAGCACATATCAAGGCCACCACACTATACTTGTTCAAAAAGGTCTCTGATACGGAATAATCCTATTTATTATCTCAGAAATCTTCTTTTTTGCTGGTTTCTTTTTTGCTGGTAAAATGCTGGTGAGCATTTTACCACTCTAGTTTAGCCTCAACTCCACAAACGGGACATTGACCTCCTACGGGTATCTTCCCTCTTAACCCAATAGAAGTACCACTTCTAAACACA